CTGGTCTGGACATCTTCAAGGAAATTAATCGAAATCAAAATAACAAAGCTGTTTGTGTGCATAAAAGGACACATCTTGTCTCTAAAAATATTTGTCCAATCACAAAATTGTCATTGATTTACTTGAGAGCTGGAGAAATTCCATTATGTCTACCATAGAATGACAACATGTTTAATAGCTAGATTTAAGTGAGTCAGTCTCTGGATTTCCAAGCCGGACATTCAGAAGCTATCGATACACATGGAAGAGCTGAAATTAAGGCTCTTCTTTGCGTATCTATCAATTTGACTGCTCCTGTGAAGCCAGTTACATCGACCATACAAATAGGCGTGGTTTTCATCAGATTTCCGAACACCATCCTGCGTAGTTGGTTAAGTAAGTAAGGCACAAACAAAATCCATTCATTGTTCTCTTTTACCTCATCTCGTGGATACAGAACGCAGGATTGGTGTTAACGAGGCTTTCAAAGTCATCTACCGCATACCAACTGATCTTGACTTTACCTTAAGCGTTTGTCTACTACATATTGCTGAGGCTGTTGGGATCAACACTAAGAAATCTAACTTATGTATCCGATTGAAGTTGATACAGACACTGTCTTCACCTTGGCCATCAAGGTTTTAGCGATGCTCAATTTCTTGTAGAAATTTCCTTGATTTCACTTGACATTCTATTTACTATTACACTTTTATGCTTATTAATATTTCTGGATCTGTAATTAGACTGATCTTACTTAAAAGTCGATAGTATTTCAAAACACCAATATCGTTGTTGACGATTATTCCAGAATATTAGATGCATATATATATATCACGAATTGGTAGAAGTTAGAATGCATGGGTTGGCCATTGGATAGTGTCCCAGTGGCTGGATGTTATACGAGCTTATGAAAATTAGATGACGTTCAGCGAAGAGACTCTTTTCGGCGAATTACTTCACATAGCTGTACAATTGCATTTATAGTTATTTGTGTGTGTGCACATGAGGTTTGTCAAGTTTAGATAATTAACCATGTAATACAAAAATGATCTAATATAGAAACAACGTTCATCAGACAGCAACTAAATTACGATTGAGTTAGTAAGTTAGATGACGTAATATAATTGACTGAAATGTTTCATCTTAGATCAGGGTAGCAACAGAGTTAATTACAGGTAGATACTAAGTAGAAGTGAAATTGAGCAAATAAGTTGGATGACGCAACATAAATGACTAGAAATTGAGCGTTGTTCAAGTCAGTAACAGTGGTGAAGAGGTGTAGAAATTAAATCGGGTTGGGGTAGAGAACAAGAAAGTTGAAAATTTGAATAAAGCAAGAACGAAAGTGGTTTGTGCAGAATAATATGGTACCATCATTTATTTCGTAGGCTTCTCATCAGCTGCTTACAGCCTAAATACATAATGAGGTTTGCGCACAGAAAAGTTTTAACATACTTGCAAATTTTTACATGTTGCCAGTTGACAAAAAGTTCCACAGTAAGTGAACAGTGCTCAGAAAATTGCGCTTATATAGTTTTTACACATGCAGTTCAAGTTTAAACAAAATAGATGTATGCATACAATGGTAAAGGAGTTACGTAATAAAGACGAAATATGAGTTAGATACAGAGTGACTAATAAATTAGGTAACAATGTACTGAGTTCAACTCAAATCATAGAAACAAGAGACAAGCAAAATTACAGAATATAAAAGGGGGTGAGGTTAAAGACAAAGATTACGTAATCAGATGAGAGAATAATGACATTCAGTTACCAGGGCAAAGAGAGATTAATAACTGCTTCTTTCTGAACACATAAATCTGGTTTCAAGCGTTTGATAGAGATTGCTTCGGCAAACTTGAGGAGAATGGAACTCCTTTGTCTATTGATAATTTTAAAGGATTTCTCGATTTCTACCTCATGACCCGTGTCGAGAAGATGTCTAGTGATAGCGCTGCTATAAGAGTTTGTTCCCTTGAGACGTAGGCTTCTTGGCACATGTTCAGAAAATCGGAGGTGTGCCCTTCTTTCTGTTCTCCCAATGTAACTGCTCCCGCAGATACACGTAAATTTGTATACACAGTTGGAGTTAACATGAGAAGGGTATCTATCGACTTTTGACTGCACCAAAGAGCATGTTGTTCGATGGACGGGAACCAACTTAGCTGCAGGATAGGCTCTGGCTAGTGATGTTCTCAGTCTTCTGTTGACCATTTCTGCAATGTTTTCACCTTTAAAATCTAGTTGAATGAAGACAGGCTTTTTTTCAACTGTGATTTTAAAGGTGAAAACATTGCAGAAATGGTCAACAGAAGACTGAGAACATCACTAGCCAGAGCCTATCCTGCAGCTAAGTTGGTTCCCGTCCATCGAACAACATGCTCTTTGGTGCAGTCAAAAGTCGATAGATACCCTTCTCATGTTAACTCCAACTGTGTATACAAATTTACGTGTATCTGCGGGAGCAGTTACATTGGGAGAACAGAAAGAAGGGCACACCTCCGATTTTCTGAACATGTGCCAAAAAGCCTACGTCTCAAGGGAACAAACTCTTATAGCAGCGCTATCACTAGACATCTTCTCGACACGGGTCATGAGGTAGAAATCGAGAAATCCTTTAAAATTATCAATAGACAAAGGAGTTCCATTCTCCTCAAGTTTGCCGAAGCAATCTCTATCAAACGCTTGAAACCAGATTTATGTGTTCAGAAAGAAGCAGTTATTAATCTCTCTTTGCCCTGGTAACTGAATGTCTTTATTCTCTCATCTGATTACGTAATCTTTGTCTTTAACCTCACCCCCTTTTATATTCTGTAATTTTGCTTGTCTCTTGTTTCTATGATTTGAGTTGAACTCAGTACATTGTTACCTAATTTATTAGTCACTCTGTATCTAACTCATATTTCGTCTTTATTACGTAACTCCTTTACCATTGTATGCATACATCTATTTTGTTTAAACTTGAACTGCATGTGTAAAAACTATATAAGCGCAATTTTCTGAGCACTGTTCACTTACTGTGGAACTTTTTGTCAACTGGCAACATGTAAAAAATTTGCAAGTATGTTAAAACTTTTCTGTGCGCAAACCTCATTATGTATTTAGGCTGTAAGCAGCTGATGAGAAGCCTACGAAATAAATGATGGTACCATATTATTCTGCACAAACCACTTTCGTTCTTGCTTTATTCAAATTCATCAAGGGGAATAAATGCATAAATTTGAAAATGTAAAATATTACAATTGAGAAGAACAAAATAATACCAATGAAGAGACAGAAAATAAAGAAAAGATTAGGTAAAATTTACTTGTCGGCTAATAAGATAGATTACGTCCAATGCAAGTGTAGTGATCGAACGAACTTCTTCTGTATGCAGAGTTCAGGACTTAGCAGGTGAATCGCCATTGCTTCTGCAGTTTGAAGAAGTCTGATTCGGACACCTTTAGGAAGACTACTTCTTACTATGTAGACGACTTTGAAGTTTGTTTGCGGTGCAGCTTGGTGTCCGGATTCAATCAGATGTTGTAAGATGGAACTGCGGAGGCATCGATTTTCTCCTTTGTAAAACCATGTTGGTAAGTGTTCGGTGATACGTTTGGAAAGCGAACGCTGGGTACGGCCAACATACATGGCTCCACACGAGCAGGTGAATTGATAAATACACATTGATGAGGCCAGCAGCAGTAGCTTATCCTTCACTTTCACATGAATCATAGGTTTTGTGGAGAAGGTTAGTCGTAGTTCAGCTGCGAAGAAGGTCTTCTTAAGTGAGCGCGACAATCTATTTCTCAGTGTTTTCGCAGATATATCTCCATTGAATTGAAGGTTCATGTAGAGTAGTTTTTTCGGGATGCTAAGCATGGGCGGCTTTTGTGGTCTAGGATTCATAGATTTTGCAATAAATCCTTCTGGATAACAATTCTCAACGAGGATTCTCTTGAGATTGTCCAGTTCATCTTCTATGGTGTCCGGGGTGCAAATTCTGTGAACTCTGTAGCTGAGTGAACGGATCAGGTTTCGTTTGGTGTATAGGGGTACCCAACTGTGAAAGTTAGTAAGCTGTCCGTTCCACGTTGACTTTCTGTGGATAGACCTTTTCAGTGTTCCATCCTGTCCTCGTCCTGTTCGTTGGACGTCAACGAAGGATATTTTCGAGTTGGACACTTTCTCCAGCGTGAACTGAATCGCGGGGTGGCAGTTGTTAAACGACTTCAAGATGTCGTCTAGATTTTCTTCCTTGTTGACGATAATGAAAGTGTCGTCGACGTATCTCTTGTAGATTTCGAAGGTATCGATCATTTTATTCAGGCATGTGTTTTCGAGTTTCGCCATGAAGAAATGTGCAAGCAATGGGCCTAGTGGTGAGCCCATAGCTATACCATCCTTTCGGCGATATATTTCGTTGTTGAAAGAGAATTGAACATTCAGGGTACACCTCAGTAGGAGTTCTTTAAGATGCTCGGTGGGTATACCGATGTTTATTCCTTTGGAGTGAATAAGTTCGCATATATAGCATATTGTTTCAGTCAGTGGAACGTTTGTGAATACTGATGTGACATCTAATGAAATCATGGTCTTGTTGGATACGTTGATGTTTTCGATTGAGTCGATAAAGTCGTATGAATGTCGAGCTGTGTGGCAGGAAAATTGTCTTCCGATTGGTTATAATAGGTCTGTTAACCATTGGGATGTGCGGCGATAAGGTGAATTGGTCATGTCGAGGATCGGTAAAAGAGGGATACCCTTCACGTGTACTTTCGAGATTCCGTAAAGACGAGGTATATTTAACCCAGAGGGTCTAAGAGATTCGAACATTTCGCTGCTGAGCTTACGTTGTAACCGGAAGGTCCTAGGTTCGAACACTTGTGGGTGCGTACCGCCGATGATTCACAAACAAGTATGAAATGACTGTCCAGTACTCCCTGGTTTTCAACTGTTCTCTAACTGATATCAATCCATGGTCAAACACGGATATATGTATATATAAATTTGAAAACGTTGAATTTTTATTTGACTTTCAGACTCGTAATGAATCCGGAACTATCAGTAAATATTGCCTTGAAAGCTGTGATGAAGCACCAGTTGCCAAGGGATACTCTTGCTGTACAACAGATCTATGCAATGGAGAGAAAAAATTGAACACTCCCATAAGCTGTCATGTTTGCAAAGATTGCTCACCTACAAACGAAAGAGTTGAAACTGTGTGCGGTGCATGTGCAGTAAGTTTAAGTCAACCTTATAATTCAATCATTTTGTGACACATTCAAAAACATCTGAAGTTGGATAACTTAACTAAAGAATCCGATTTATTCGACTCTGAGTATTCAGTTGCTTACATTCAAATGCTGTTGATTCAATTAGTGATTTTGTGAGAAGAAATACCTCTGTGAAAAATCTCATGCCATGCCATGTCATGTCATGCCAGGTCTGCACTTCAGTCAAGCATGATATCGATACAACTAGTATTTGACAAGAGAATCATGCTTGAAACAAACTATTAATAAGTTCACTCATATATATAAACGTGTTGATTTCATCGTTTTCGTCAGTTCTCCACAGAAAAGATTGTTCAGCAGCCTACTCTTCTCTTCAGTCATCTCTTCAGGAGGCAAGGTAGTGAAAATGCCTGAAATCAATAGGTTGAGTGTTGTTCTATTGAGACAAGTTCATGTAGTGTTCAGATTTAAGGAAGAAGTGAGAATAAATCTTCTAGGAAGTTCACAGTCATGAGTATGAATACAACAAACAAATTATTCTAAATTTTTAGTAAGACCACAGACTGAAATCATTTAGAGAACTGATGAAACTCAGAATATGCTAGAAAGCTAATTCATTGAGATTTCCGGTTCATTTCATGATCCAACTTGACATCGATCAAGTCCCTGCAGACCAACATGAGCTTATTGCATGCAAATATGAAGGCTTGATGTAAACGTCTTAAACACATTTCACAATATTAAAAGTCCCGATTTAACTATGTAGAAGACGAAAGATTGATTATATAATATACCTTTTCATGATTTCCTTCTATAGCACTACAGGTATACATCGACATAGTATTTGAAGAGTAAATGATATAGATTTTTTTCATTCCTTTATGTTCCCGGCGGACCATAGATTTTCAAGCAATAAGCTTGAAGTATCGGTAGCTGTGGTATTTACTTCTATGGGTTGAGGATGCTAGCCTCATACCCAACCATTCCTCTTTTTTATCAGTCTTATCACTCGATTAGAAGGTAAAGTAGTGAGATGACCGAAGATCGAACCCGAAACCACCTGCGTGGTTGGTGAGCATTCTACCGCTGTGCCACAGACGCACTGAAGCTCCTATACAAGGAGTAAACACTAAATCAGATAAACGTTCTCAATCTTTTGGTAGACACCATTAGTTAGGCTAGAAACTTCACTCCTTTCGAAAACAACAACACCACCACTGAGAGTTCAAAACTCACGCTTGAAGCGTTATATTCCACTGTGAAGGCAAAGTCAGACGGAACCTATGTCATCAGTCAATATACCTGTAATATATCACAAATTAAATTATTCAGTGCAAAGATGTTGTGAAGGAAGGAAATCAAGAAGGAAAAAATTGCAAATGATATAGGTAACACCTATGTTTTGAAGGCTATATTTATTTTTTTAATCGTTTAATTTTACTTTGACTTTCAGACTCATACTGCATTCGGATCTATTAATAAATTTTGTCTTCACAGCTGTGATTTAATACCAGCTCTCAAGGGATTCTCTTGCTGTACAACAGATCTATGCAATGGTGAGATAAAATTGAATATTCACATAGGCCTTATGATATTTCTGCTGAGTGTTACACATTTCAGCATCAGAGCATTATAAAATGATTTAAATGAAGCAGAATATCCTAAATGTCTTTTACAAGAAAATGAAAGTACTTTCAACAGTGAAATTTTCTTAAGCCATTCATACTTCGCTTTAATATTGAAATCACTGCACTGTACCGCTAACATTTATTCACATACCTATATTAGAAGAATATTTTAGTGGTTCTGTCAAAACAATATGTACTGTATAAACTGACATGTAACCAGTGTATGATTTCAACTCTAAATGCATTCGAACAGTTATAAAGACGTAAATTGTTTCACTCGCTATATTTATATATAGTTTAACCTTAATTTTGAATGTTTATTTGATTTATCGTACAAATGTAAATTCCAAAGACATATCAAATCTATTATTTCATTTGAGATGGTGTGCATCTCAACCTCTGCATCCTTTTAAGACTGGCTTACTCTCAATCGAAAACGAAAGAATAAAGAATTTAAGCTTGTTAGTAAAATAAGCGAATTACAAATATACCAATAACCTTCATTTTAAAGGAGAAAATGTGCTTCTTTTTATTCCTTAACGTACCAGTGGAACATACGTCTTCAAGGTAGAGACTTGAAGTTTCTGTAGCAGTGTTTATTTTGACAAGATGAGTTTGCTAGCCTCATGCCCAACCTTTCCTCTTCACCGTCTTTATTTCTGGCTTAGTGAGGTAGAGGAGTTCGCCGGCCGGGGATCGATTCCTGGACCATGTGTATGGTCGGCAAGCGTCCTAACCGCTATGCTTGATAAACAATTATTCAAACGTAAGACATCACAGTGGGTGTAAATTTATTAACGACGACTGAAAATGAAGTAGTTTGTTAGTTAACCTTCTACAATGCTTAGGTGTGAGTGGTTTGAACTAATTTGGTCGTTTGATCTGAGTTTACCTGGATAAAACATTGATGAGCTCGGCCTATAACATTTGAAACAAACTTCCGCTGAAGTGTCATGCACTTATAAATTCAGGTTCTAAAATAAGAAATATACAAAAGCGCGACGGGGAGGGGAGACGGTTTAAAAGGACGGAAGCAAAATGGTAATTTAAGTGTTACTTTTTTGACGCACCAATATTTCAGCAAATGAAAAATAGAAGTTTGATCATAAGCCAACATGAGTTTGATTACCACTGGGAAACTAGGTAGTGTTGGAAAGCCTTTTCGTCCTAGTTTGTTATTCCTCATCAGTAGGCACTCAGCGGGATTGGAGCGCAGTATCCCCAGGTCACCAGGCATGCTGGTAGACCATTCACCACCAGGACTCAACCCAATTTTTCATTTACTTCAAGTTCTGTCAATTCGTGATATATTCAGCCCGACTGACTGTAAATGTAACAGGCGATCAACTGTCCTCTTGCCTGATTTGAACGATCCCGCTGGTTACGACTTCTCACTAGAACTCCAGGAAACTTCCTATATATAGAACCATTCACTAGGGAAAATCAGATCAACTATAAAGTGTTAATTTGAAGGGATTTGATTGGTTACAGGTTTAATCACTAGTTGATTTCGGTTACAAAACCACTGGAAAACCAGGAATGACTAAAAATAAAATCCACTGTTCTATCACTCTTTAACAATATGTTGCAATCAACCAAAATTAGACTTTCAACATTCATTATGCTGTACTGTTATTGTGGTGAGAGATGGTTGCTAGCCAAATTGGTTCACAGTAATTGAGGTCAATGTTAGTCATGTGAAAACAAGGTCAAGATGGACAGGCGGATACAGTTAGCATATGAATGATCTGACACAGCCACAAAGAGATGCAAGGTTAACTTTGTGTGAGAAACAACCAATCAACAGACTGTATTTTCTACTAACATTAACCTACAATAATGTACATCAAAATCTATAAATATGTGTTGATTTTCCGTAATAAACGTTCTGTTGCCTGGCCCTTGTCTTCTGTTGTTACAATATAACTGACAGTTTTTGATGGCGTTGGCACTATGGTTGGACTTACCTGAAATGCAAGTTCCTAGAGCATCATATTCCGACCTAGTGTCTGGGAGGTTATGTTTCTCATCTCGTAACCTGACTTATTCTGATCCGACTTCTTGGGAGATCATGTGTGTGTTTGTGTGTAGTAGGCGAACGAAACAAATTCTTTGTGATCTTTGATCTTCAATGATTCTGTAAATGATATGAGTTCATGAGAAAACCACTCGCGAAAACAGTAAATGTTTGTCGCATACGAATTAGACGTATAAATTATTAGTTTCCGTAAATTTTAAAGTTTAAAAAAACCCTAACTGCTATGAACTGTGTAGAAATTTACCATAGGAACCTGCAGCTGACAATGTCTGTTTCTGCCTTTCCGTATTTCTGATAGTTCAGCGTATATGCATCTAGAAATAATTCAAATTCAGTGGGCTGAACAATGAAAAAGAAGGGTGGATATCCGCATAATTGAGAAACAAGTGTCTCAATCACTTGTAACAGTTTATCCTAAAGTATACTTTAAATTACAACGTTGTTAAATACGTACATTTATTTATTATTATTATTTGTCCCTTGGGTTCCGGGTTGAAAATTATGCTTCAGAAGCACATCTCCACTTTATTGAGTTTTCTACCAGCACTATCATTTGCTCTGCGACTGCCGACAGGCTTTCATCCACTTTCACATGATGTTGTACATGTCATCGCTGAACGTACGCCTTACCCATTTCTCCTCAGGTTTGATTCAACTGTCTCCTCAGCTTATGCCCAGTCTATCTCCAATTCCTTACTCTTAATTGTTGAATAACGGCTTCTTACCTGGTATACAGTCTGTCGGAGTCTTCTTTGCTTATTCTTTCCCATCGCCTATCTGATCTTCATTATCAAGCGAAGGCAGGTGTGGGTTGCCTTTTATTTTATCATTTTGTTTCAAAATAAATTAATATGACAAGAAACTGCATAATCAAATTTTTCGATTACACCACATTATTGAGATAAATACATCTTCTTATCATGCTATTCGAGAGGCATATGAATCCCAGAATAACGTAGAGTAGGTACATAATGAAAGTTATATTCGTACAATAGTACGGCTGATTTAAAGCTTCAATTTAATCTATACTTAGGCAAAACAAAAGTTGAATTTCATACATTTGTTCCCCTTAATGAATTTGAACAAAGCAACAACTACAGTTTTAGCAGAATAAAGTGGTACCATATTTTATTTCGTCGCCTTCTCTTCAGCTGCTTACAGGGCAAAAACATTATTAAGTGCATCTACAAAAACAATTTAACATACTTACACAGAGTTCATTTTAAACAGAAATCAATCGATCAATATACACATACACTAATGATATATACATATATATATATGCAATATTGAACACAATTCCGAGCAATAATAATCATACAAAATGAAAACTTTTCAGTATCTCGCATTAGGATGAAAAATATCCAGTTACCAGGTCAAAGAAAGACTGATAACTGCTTCTTTCTGAACGCACAAATCAGGTTTTAGGCGCTTGATGGAAAATGCTTCAGCAAACTTAAGGAGCATTGAACTCTTTTGCTTATTGATAATTTTGAATGACTTTTCCACGTCCACCTCATGACCCGTGTCAAGAAGATGCCTGGCGATGGCACTGCCTAAAGCATTTGTTCCCTTTAGACGTAAGCGCCTAAAACCTGATTTGTGCGTTCAGAAAGAAGCAGTTATCAGTCTTTCTTTGCCCTGGTAACTGGATATTTTTCATCCTAATGCGAGATACTGAAAAGTTTTCATTTTGTATGATTATTATTGCTCGGAATTGTGTTCAATATTGCATATATATATATATGTATATATCATTAGTGTATGTGTATATTGATCGATTGATTTCTGTTTAAAATGAACTCTGTGTAAGTATGTTAAATTGTTTTTGTAGATGCACTTAATAATGTTTTTGCCCTGTAAGCAGCTGAAGAGAAGGCGACGAAATAAAATATGGTACCACTTTATTCTGCTAAAACTGTAGTTGTTGCTTTGTTCAAAAAGTTGAATTGCAAGTATATTACATTAGTAGACAAAAAAATAGCGACATTCTGAGAGTGTTTACTAAGTACTACACAGTAAAGTGAGATAGACCATCTGAAGGTGAATTTCACTAAAGTAGATCAGCTTTCAGATTGAATTTAAAAATTTTATCGATGTATGTAACGCTATATTGGTCAGCGCTAATGTCCACATTAACTGTGTATCTGCACACCCATGGTCAGGAATTATGGTATTCATCCTTTCATGTCTGTGCATCTAAACAAATACAGATGCCAATGGGAAATGAAGAAGATGGAAATCTTGGATTAGAGAATCACAAAAACCGCAAGGAATTCCTTCACGCTTGGTAATAAATCTGCGGCTTTCAGCAGTACTGACAAAGATCAGATTTATTGGTCAATAGAAGATAAGTCACATGGTTGACAGCTTAACGCGAATGGGAAGCGCCGAGTTAGCTGTCTTAAGGTGACATGGAAGAGATCGTGTGAGGAGGAAATAAAAGCTTATAGACAGTTGTGGAACCAGCTAAAAAGAATCCAGAAAACAGAGTGAATTGGAGGTTTGCTACTAAAGTCTTATGCGTCACTCACAACCCAAGGAAGTAACAATAATGATACGATAGCTAATTACTGATTACGAAATTGATGAGTGAGCACTTTGTTGAAATTACTTAATGTGCACAAAATGTGCTGTTTTCTACTAAGCCATGAGGAAACAAAATTTTGTGATACTTCATTTCTGTTCCTCTCAAGGGGATACATTCAGAACTTCTTAAACAAAGGAGGTGTTTACATTCATGTCGGAGAATTTCGCTGGGATTTGGCTAACTGTTACTTCAACGTACGACGGTATATGACTAGTCTCACAGATACGATTCCTGCACTCAATAAGCGCAGAAGACTGATTAGGAAAGGGAATATCTGTGCCTGCATGAAATGATAATACTGCTAGAAATTAAAACAAGTTATTCATTCATTTTATCTGACGAATAAATTAGTGGTCTAACAGTTAAGAAATTACCTTCTGACTTAGCTTAGCCGCATCTGCTTACTTACTGCAACTACGCAGAACACTGACAGGTGTCTGAGAAGATATGTATACCTATTAACAGACTGAATTAAAGGAATCAAGTGTTGGTTTGTAGGGATTTGATTGGTTACAGGATTTTGTCATGAGTTGACATTGGTTAGAGAACCAATGGGAAACCTGGGAGTACTAGACAGCTGTTTCGTCCTAGTTTGGGATTCTTCAGCAGCACGCACCACCGGGATTCGAACCCAGGACCTTCTAATTACAAGGCGAGCTCGTATACCATTAAGGCACTGAGACCCAATCCAATGGCCCATGAATTCTAACTTCTGCCAATTCACGACATAGTGCGACCCCTAGCCAATGTTTTCGGCGAGTATTTGTTCTCACACCCGACCAGCTGTCCAGTACTCCCAGATTTTCCAATGGTTCTCTAACTAATGCCACCTCATGATGAAAATCCTGAATTAAAGGATATTTCTCGAAGGGACAGTCTGTTGATTCAATCAATACCCAAAAGTCCAGATCATGAGTATCTTTTGATATAAGTTTGAATATTAAAGTAATTCGAATATATCAACTCGAAGGTTGAAGCAATTCAATCCACTTATGAATTGGAAAGTCAGGAAAGGGAGATTGCAACGTAAAGAGGAAAGAAGATGGGAAGTTAAACACCAGTGTTTACAGGAAACCCACACACTCAAACAGATATTTGGACTTCCAATCATCCCATCATATGTCAGTAAAAATAGGATTGGTGAAATGTTTAAATGACAGAGCACAAAAACTAAGTAGTACCAAAGAAAATCTAAAACAGGAACTGATACACATAAAAGAAGCCTTGAAACTTAATAATTACCCGGATAAATTAATCAAGAAATATGTAAGGAAATGTAAAAAAAAATAATGATAGTAGCGATAGTGATATTAACAAGAATAATGATAACAGTGATAATAATAATATTAATGACGACACCAACAATAAAGAATCTAAATCATCATCAGTAATTCCATACAAGGAAGGAACCTCGGAAGCCTTACGCAGAATTCTTAACAAGGCAGGAATAAAAACGGCATTCAAACCAACAAACTCAATTAGAAACAAGCTTTGTCGGTTAAAGGATCCTGTAGAGCCTTTAAAACAAAATAATTTAGTTTATTTCATACCCTGCAATGATTGTCAGGTCAAATACATAGGTCAAACTAGTAGAACAGGGGCAGTCAGACTAGCTGAACATGAAAACCTAGCAAAATCTAGATTGGTTGACCCGAATAAAATAAGAAATCTAGAGAATAGTTCAGATATACCACTCACTACATGCAATTCCACACAACCATACAATAGGATGGGATAGGATGACAGTTTTAAAATTTTATGTCACAGGGTGGAGGGAGAGATTGATAACAGAAACTTTGTTTATTGAATCAACTACAAATACATGTAATAGGAATGATTCATCGCCTGTCCCCGATATCTGGAAAATTCTACTACCCATACGACGGCAAATAGGAGAAAACAAAGAAAACTATAAAACTCAAGTGTCAAAGTCGTGTGATTACAATTGATATGATTATGAACAATAAATTTTGTTCGAGACGTCATCCAGTAAATAATACTGTTTCACTGTGTGATATACCTAATAAACAAACTAATATGGAATTACTTACTACCTCAGTGCCCAAGTTTTACACAAATGGTAAAGTAATTTCACCAATGAGTTCTAAAATACCTTCAGAAACATTTCTGGCACATTAGCATGTAGTAGAAACTTGTGCATCTTCACTCACATGCCAAGTCTCTCGAGAGATGGGTGTTATGCCTCAGCAAGTTTCAAATTCAAGTCGAACGGGACTATCATAAAAAATAGAAACATTGGAAACTGTCTTGTCATTTTTACTGGAAGTGAACATCGACCAATTGCTGGAAAGATTTTGAGTGAATATTATCCAGGTTAGGCTTTCAAATGGCTACTTCAAGTGCGTATTTCAGGCATTTTTTAAAATTATGTTTCTTGTATGAGCACATACCATAATGCTATCCTGCACTGAACTGATAACTGTTGGGAGGCTTCTTGACTGTCTCAAGAATTGAAGTTTGTGAAGGATTATAATTAGATTCATCTAAATTTATGGGATCAGCTGCAGAAGAATTAAATACTTTCAATCTTTTTGTGTTATTCTTTAAGTTCACTAATCTTTGACACTCGTCTGTAGCGCTTTGTAACCTCATTGTAGGCTTTTTGTCCATGCAACAAGAAATACACGCTCTTACTTTGGATTCAAGTGGATGATGAAAACCACGTAAACACTGACTCATGTGTCTTCTGTCGTAACACCTTCGTTTAAGATGCTATTATTATTACTCCCTTGGGTTTCAAGTGGACTATAAGGCTTCAACAATACATCTCCACATTCTTCTAGTCTCCACTGTCCTCTTTAACTGGGTACACGATTGACCATAATCTCTCATCTCTTCACCCCCAAACGATCTGCTCCAAGTCACTGACGGCCCACTCGTCGATTTTCATTTGGATTCCACTCAGCCTATGGCCTGTATTACGCCCGATTTCATTCGAAGTTCTCCTCAACGTACACCCGATCCATTTCCATGTTTCTTCAGTGATCGGCTTTTACTTGGTTCGTTCATTGCCAGAGTTTCTTGTTGCTAATTCTTTCTGGCCGGTTTGCTGGTCATTTGATCTTCAGTATAGAGCCAGCGAAAGTTGCGGGAGTTTAAAAAGGTTTGCAACCTGTTGGAAATCTTTTTCGTGACACGCTGGTCAAGTTTCTGACCCGTATAGAAGGACTGACTAACTTCACATTTGTGTTGAAAAACCGAATCCTGTTCTTTATGCTGAGTGCAGTGCAGAAGATTTCTAAACTGGTTTCAGGTTGATGAAGGTATATCTTGCCTTTTCGATTCTGGCTGACTGTCTTTGACATATTCATGTGTTCCGCCGGCTTGTGGTTGAACTGGTTCTGCCTAGATTAGTGAAGGAAGCAACCTCTGTTAAATCTCTCCCGTTGAAGGTGATTAGTGTTTGCTGTTGTTGCTGTTGGTTGGTTGGTTATCTTCATCACTTTCATCTTCTCTATGTCAAGATGGAGATATTTGTAGTTAAATGCTTGTAAGAATTCAAGCACTTATCAACGACAGTCTCAATCAGTTCAACCTGAGTTTAAAGACTAACAGTAATTAAAGTCTTTGATGTCTTGCGCGTAGTAACTTTGTATTTTTTTAGGCATTTCTGGGAAAATAATAAGGAGAAACCATGATCAAACAGGTAAAATACAGGGATTATTTAACTGTCAATGCAGTGGTAATGATCAAAAGTCTCAGCTTACTCATTTAACAATTAAAATAAAAGATCATTTAGAAGTGAAAAACACTGGGGAAAACCAAAATCCGTTCAGAAGTAAAATGACTATTACATACATTTAAAGAAACCATCAATTATCACCTGCTTTCTAAAATTAAGCCTCTTAACTAAATTGTATATATTGAAAACGTTTCGTGAGACAAAATCATTCAGTCAAATGTTATGCTAATGTATTCCATTTGAACGACTGAAAATAATTAAATAAATAAATGTATAAAAGATATATAGATGACACTTTCAGTGTATGTGACGAAAACTCTTCAACTGCCGAACTTCTAGGAATATTTAATAGTTCTCACCCATCTTTGCTTTTCACGGTCGAAGAAGAGTCGAATTCCTCATTTCACTTCCTTGATGTTAAGCTAGATCGAAGAGAGAATGGCACGCTGTTAAGGTCGATCTACCGAAAGCCAACACTCACTGGGCAGTACACTAACTTCAACAGTTGGGCACCGTTAGGGAGAAAGAGAAATCTTATTCATTCCTTATGCTCCAGAATTCGTAAAATCTGCTCTTCAGAGACAATCGATAGTGAACTAGATAACCTTCGATCAAATCTCCTTAATAATGGTTATCCTACAAGGTTTATCGAACGTAACATCAAGAAAGAACACGCCCCCAGACAAATTACAGTGCCAAAGAAGAAACTGTTTATGAGTCTGGCATTCAAAGGTGACACCATTTCGGAACAGATTAAAAATCGTTTATCTAAATGTATTAAACCCACTTTTCCTGCATCTGACTTGCAGCTAGTTTCTACCAGCCGAAATATGATTAGACAATGCGTCAAGGATAGATTACCGCTTTTGTCCACATCCATGTGTATTTACTCTTTTACCCGCTCTTGTGGAGCTGTTTATATTGGGCGTTGTAATCGTAATCTCCGAAAACGTGTATCTGAACACTATCCAGTCTGGTTAATGAAAGGCGAACGTAGAACTGCAAAGTCGTCTATTTGTGATCACCTATTAGAGTCAGGTCATTTAGCCCCACGTGATTCATCTTTCAAAGTTATCTATATGGCAAAATCGAATCGATCCAAAAGTTTACGTTTTCTTCACTTATGCATAGCCGAAGCTTTAGCTATACATGAACAGAAACCTAAATTATGTGTTCAAAAACGTTTTGTCAAACCCCTTTATTTACCTTGGTCATAGTAATGTTCTTTCTAGTTTTTACTTTATTTTATTTTACCCCTTGAATTCTTTCCACTTCACTTCACATCTTCATTCTTATCGTAATCGTACTCCTAATTTTTTAAAATTTTTAGACAACACTTGACATTTTTATAACAATTTAAAACAATTTCCTGCAGCTAAACTGGTACTCAACTTCGCAACTGAACCAGTACTCACACAGCAAGTAAAGGATAAATTACCAAAGATGGCTTCATCAGTGTGCATCTATGAATTCAACTGCTCATGTGGAGTTAGTTACATTGGCGGTACTCAGAGGGCTTTATCCATGCGCGCACGTGAACATGTACCTGTATGGTTGAGTAAAGGAGTAACCAAGTGTGTAAATAGTGCAGTCTTAGCCCACTTGGTAGATACTGGACACCAGATAAAACTTGACCAGGCGTTCTCAGTTATTTACCGCGTTCCTAGTAATTTATCTAGAGGAGCTCGACTGCATCTTCTATCAGTAGCTGAAGCGGTGGCAATTAATACCAGAAGACCTTCTCTTTGCATACAGAAGAATTATGTTCAACCATTATGTTTACTTTGGCCTACAATAAAGCCAACAAATCCTCCATTAACACTATAAATTCCTTCCACATTTTTCTTCTCTTTTCTTCTTCTTCTATTCCTCTGTTTCATTGACAATCGTTCATTTTCGACTTTTATGATTTCATGACCTTTCTTATGATTTTATTACCTTAAGTTTAAGTAGTGCTTTTCTAACTTGCTATCGTATTTACAAAATCCTGTTCATTCCACTTCATTCTACTCATTCATACTATATTCATTATTATTATTTGACAATCATTCACCAATAGTGCATGTAATTTTACACCATATCATCGTTATTATTTTACAATCATTCTTACTGTCGTTATTTTCAACCTTGAACTTAAGTCTAGTCCGCCCCATTCGTTGGTCTATTTTCATATTGTCTCACACACCCTGATTACACACACTCTCGAAACCTGTATTTCTGTTGACTATATTTATATATATATATATATACATCATTAAATTAAATTACTTCATCTGATTTTGTCCCATGTTCTCATTGACCATGCATATTAAAAAACTATCTGACTATTGTTCCATCCCATCTTATATTTGTTCCACAGTACACTTTCTGATATGATTCTAATTTGCCTTTACTGGCTATTGTATGCTTAAATTAATGGATTTATAATTGTAGAGCCTGAAGAAGAATTTATTGAAAACAATTGTTCGCTTAAAATATTTTGTTCTGAATTTTTACAACCTTTTTGATTTCAATTCACTTATAAAATAATTTTTAATAATTTTGTTATTTATCCACTGCAACTCTACCCCTTATAACATTTTAATTATCGTTATTCTTATCACATATATGCATATTGACTGAGCAATTATTTAGTGCCACTTAATAACCTTTTCTATAATATAACTACGACTGTACAGCTTGAAAATGAAGTTGTTTAAAAGAAATTTCTTCACTGAACAAAAAACTGTGTTTTTACTTATGAATGAATAGGTATTTTTCGTGATTGAAAATAATATTCCTTTTCTTTTCGGAGCTTCTTCAGTTACAAGAGATCTCAGAGAAAGTCCTTCTTTTCGACAGAAAACGTTGAGGTAAGGTTTCACACAGTAAATAACCTTATAAATAGCATCACTAGACACTTTAACAAGTTATCGCTTTCAAATCAATTTTCAAAATGTTAAAGTTCATCGTCATGAAATTTCTAATGTTTGAAATATTGTCGAATTCAGACAGACACAGAGGTCAAACACTTGGTCTGTTCCTAGGCTTGAAGGCTACGTGTGAATTTATCGATGAATCAACAGTGATAATTTCTTTTCAACGGTAAATGAGCTTACGATTGCCAGTAGCCTCCTTGATTATAGAATTTTAGGAAAGACACTTGGAACCTTTTACTAATAGCCTTATAAATTATTTAATAAGTAGCTATTTGATAATTTAGGAAACATTTGAACCAAGGGTAATTAACTGAGTCAAATGGTGGGGAAAACGCCACAGTCGTAATAAACACAGCATATTATTGTAACATCAATCATTCACGTGAGAATTATGTCATAAAAATGATCGATAATAGTTGTACTGGTATGTAGTATTATTCCTGCTGATGAAGAGTAATCACTTACTTATTTTCAGAAAATCAGCCTACAAGATTCAAATAAATCAATTTTCACCAATTTAATTTAATAAATGCTATTTAAAAACGTTATTTTACATCAAGAATATGTCGCTAAAGTCGTGTTATTACTTAATAAAATCACTGTGATATCAAACTATTATTCACATATTAGCATTGTATACTTGTGTGATTTCCGTATATTCAAGCAGTGGAATTCGCCTCTTCCATGATGATATGATTCAGGTTTTGGAAATACAATTTCACTGGAAACACCATCAGTAAAATATATTATAACATCACTTCCAGAATTGGCATGTATTCACGGAATAAATGTGTACCCAGTTATTCGTACTCAGCAGCTCTCAATGAGTAATAGTTTCCCAGTATATTTTAGCAACTACGGATTTTTTTCAATTCCCTTACGTTCCCAGTGGAACTAAGGACTTCAAGCTACAGCCTTGAAGTTTCGGTAGCAGTGGTATTTATTTTTACCGGATTGGGTTGCTAGCTTCATGTCCAACCTTCCCTCTATATCAGTCGTATTACTGGCTTAGTGAGGTAAAGGAGTGCGACGGCCGGGGATCGAACGCCTAACCACATGAGGCGTGGTTGGCGAGCATT